TGAATTCATGCTACTTAAGATCCGGTCCCCGTCCTTCCTTGAAACTTAGGAATCACTGGATTCCACCATCCAGGGACCTCAGGAGCTTGAAGAACAAGGAACACTGTTCGAAGCAGCATCAGTGAGATGAAGACCTTATTTAAGTTTTAAAAACCTATGCATGTTTTATTTTGCCAAGATTACAGCTTCTCTCTCTCCAATATATTCAATGTTTAGTGAAAAAGGGTTCCTCTTAATGTCCTGAGATGGGATCTTTAACTGAGGCGAAGTGGTGACACTTGCCTCATTTGTTCCCTTATGTCAAAGCTGAAATTCCCCGCTGCCCAGCGTTCGGTTACTCGGCCGCTCTCGCCAGCACTGGCTCCTGGAGGGCATTTGGCAGCTCTCTCCTGCAGTCACAGAAAGCGAAGTTATGTCTGAAAAGGGCTCGTCTCACTGTAACGTGAGGTTGAATTTCTGCAGCACCCTTCCAATCCCCCTTCCACATTCTCATAACTGTATCCACGAGCGGCGCGTGGCCGTGTGTGCCTTTCGAAGGCTGTGCAAATGGGACGTTTCACAGCGTGGGGCTCATTCTGCGTTATTCCGCCCCCTGTGGGACGTCGTGAGAGCCTTCGGTGCCGGTGCGCATAGACGCGGCTCATTTCTTCCCGCGGCTCTACGGCACCCCATCTGTCCATTCCCCTGCTCACAGACATGGGCGTTGTTTTGCAATTATAAACAAAGCCGCAGTGACTCTCTTTGTGCGGGGCTCCTGGCGTGCATGTTTGAGTTTCTCTAGGCTACGCAGAAATGGAATTTTAAGTTATGATATCATTTCAATTTTGCTAAATTCTTTTTTGCTGTTCAGCCCTCATAATTCATTGTGTGCGAGTTCCCATTTCCCTCCTTCTCACCTACACTTGCATTTTAATGTTTGCCAGCCTGACAGATTTATTGTTTTAATTTGCAGCTGTCTGATTATTGGGGACGTTGAGTATCTTTTCAACTCTTCGGTGTGGCTTTTTCAGTCATTATCAACCCTTTATGTCCCAGCCAGACTGTAAGCTCCTGGGGGAGGGGCTGGGTCTCACATCTAAGGCCCTCACAGGGCACAGACAGCCCCATCCAAGCATAGATTCTATTCCTACTTTTCCCACCTGGCCACTGTGCCCCACCTTGGAGCCCTACTCTCCAAGCTTAACACGCTCCCTCCCCTGCAGCTCCCCAAATACGCCATGCTGGGATTTGTTCACACTGTGCCCTCTGTCTGGAACGCTATGTCTCTCCCAGTTCATCCAAATGTGCCTGCTCGTGCCCCAAGGCTCATCTCAAGAACCACCTCCTCTATGAGGCCTTCCATGACTACTAGCCCCTATGCCATCCCAAGTTCTCTTTTGTGCTTCCACTGGCCCCACGTGAACTTCTTGCTGCCTGGGTAAAACTTTGGAGCATCTGTTTGCCGATGTGTCTCCCCACCTGATCCTGGGCACGCAGAGGACAGGTGCTGCGTCCTAGTGATCCCCGAACCCCCAGCTCGTTGGTCAGGGCTGGGCGGAGAGGGCAGGTGCGCAGGGCCTGTTCGTCGGGTGGATGGATGAGGCCTGAAGCCGGCGCCTCCCGCATCAGCCTTCTGTAGCCTGTGGAGTCCTTGGGAACAAGGACATCAGTGGGTCCATATCACTGTCCCCCAGTGCCTAACAAGGCCAAGCGTTTGTGGCGCTTGGTGTGTTGTGGGTTTTTTTCTTTGAATCCTTACCTGAGGATATTTTTCCCATTGCTTTTTTTCAGAAAGTGGGGAAGGGGGAGAGAGAGAGAGAAACATCGATATGAGAGAGACACATCAATTGGTTGCCTCCCACATGTGCCCCAACAGGGGCCAGGGATCAAGCCTGCAACCGAGGTACGTGTCCTTGGCCGGAATCGAACCCGGGACCGGTTCGATGGGCCGGTACTTTAACCACTGAGCCAAACTGGTGGCTCAGTGTGTACACTCAGTGTGTACACTCAGTGTGTATTTATTGACATAACTGTATGATTGCCTGGTAGTGTAGAAAATGGCTTTGCTCAGAAATTCCTGGATTTTCAATCCCAGCTTCCTAGTGGTATAATCTTGGGCAATTTCCGTGGCCTTTCCAAGCCTCCGTGCTCTCATCTTCCTGGAGAGGCTGGCCATGGCTTTGAGGACTGGGGTACGGATGGGAAAAGGGTGCTTGTGTGCAGCATTTTTATCACATGCACCTGGCATATTATAATTCTATGTCCAAACAGTACGGGGTTTGCTTTGGCTGCAATACTCTGGTTGGCTCACCTTTTTCAGTTGCCGTCTGTGATGAGGCGACAGTAGCTACTCAATAAAGTCTGGTTTTTCCAGCACAAGAACAGCGTCTTGCAGAAATTAGGTCCTTAGTAAGGAAGTTGAGCTGAACTCAGCACCTTGTACATAATAGGTAGTCAATAAATATTAAATCAAGCCAAATCCACCTCCCCATACTGCGTCCTGTTCCAGGCCCACCTTAAAGAAGTCAGTCCTTTTGTGGGGAGAGGGGCAGCCCCTTCTCCTGGCAGTGACCTTGTTTGATTTTTTCCGAAGCACAATGGTCTGTGGTGGACTGTTACTGTGGGGTCCCCGCAAACCAAACCTGCCCATAACAGTACCCCAGAGCGGCCTCCTCCCACTGTGAGTCTGGGCTTGGCCACAGGACCTTTAGACCACAGGGACATTAACAAGCCAGGGCGAGGCGAGATGAGTTCTTGCACACTGACCCTTGTCCCCCCAGAAGGTTCCTTCTTGGAGCCCAGTCACCATGCAAAGAAGAAGCCCAAACCAGTCACAAAGAGAGAGTGAGGCCTCGCCAGCCCTGCTGAGGCACCTGGTGTGTGAGAAGCAGCCACCTTCACAGCAGATGCCACATGGAGCAGAAACTCACCAGACCACCTGAGCCCTGCCCCAATTGCACAATCATAAGCAAATAAATGATCGCTGTTCTTTTAAGCTACTAGGCTTGAGGGTGGTTTGAAACAGCGGATAACCCATGAGCAGAGCATGTTCTGAGAGAGCAAGTCAGTGATCTGGGCGATGGTGTGCTGCTGGCTTGAAAATCTAACAGGAAATAAGCTTCAGGTAGACATGACTGCCTAACCTGGAACCCCCTCTCTGGGGTCTTCTTCCCTGGGACCCCAATTCTCAGGTCCATACCCTGTTGTTACCAGGGACCCTTTATCAGTTAAGGGTAAGGCTAGCTCTCTAAACAGATGCCCAGGCTCACATGACAAGAAGTCCGGAGGCGGGTGGCTTCTGGCCAGGTGAATGGAGCAGCTCAGTGAGGTCCCTGGAGGACTGAGATTGCGCAGGACCCAGATTGTGTCTGCTGGGAGCAGCCTGGGCTGCATCCTGCCTCACTCAATACCACAGGAAAGAGTGATGCATTGGCTCTCCTAGCAGAGAAAAGAATCTCCCAGAGGGCTACACACACACACACACACACACACACCCCTCTTCCTTTGCATGTCATTGGCCAAATTGAGTCACGTGTCCATTACTGAGCCAATCATTTTGTATGAGTAGGGGGAGGGGTCAGAATGACCATGAGACCAATCAAAACTACCCTTGGATTAGAGGGGGTGTGGCCAATTCTTCTGAAGTCCCTGGGCTCATAGGGAAGGAATGGATGCCTGGAAATAATCGGGGTTCTGCTGGGGAGGGCATACAGGGTAAGGTCCAGCAGTGCCCCCATAGGACCCCTCCACACTGGGCATGCGGGAGGAGCCCAGCATACTGGAATCATGGG